CTGAGGCAGACAGAGGTTAAGTGACTCGCCCAGAGTCACACAGCCTGAGGGCAGATTTGAACTCAGGTCTTCCTGACTCCAAGCCCAACATTCTATCCACTCAGCCACCTAGCTACATAGAAGCTGATATTTCTTCCCACATCTTGGCCTCCCAGTTTATCAGCTTCACCTTTCATCACTCCCATCTTTACCTCAGCAACACACAGAAGGTCATACCCTTGATCTCACCGGCACACATAAGTGGGCTCTGTCCAAAATCCAAACTTCTGAAATCTTCTTACCATAACCACCGATCTCCCATCTCTCTATCCACTTCACTCTTCCTCAATCTATTCTTTATCTACCTGGTAACCTCTACTCCATCACCCCTCCTCCCTTTTCTGCCCTGATACCACTTTCATTCATTCACAATCTTGACTTCGGAGAAGGAGCTAGCTGATTGGGGGATCACAGATACAGAATGGAAAGACAAAGGAAGGTGGGGGAGGAAACCGGCATTTATTGAGGGCCTTCTAATTCAATAAACATTTGTTAAGCCCCTGTTATGTGGCAGGCCTTGTGCGAAGTGTTTGATAAGATCAATATTATCTGTTAAAAGGCCAGGACCTCAGAGGTCATTCAGCCTAACTCCTGTCCTGCACGTTACGGAAGAGGAAACTGATGGCTATGGAGGCGAAGTGACTGACCTAAGGTGAAACAGGCAGAAACTGCCCTACGTGGGATTTGATTCCAAGTCACTAGGTGGAGGTAAGCTAGAGGCTCTGAAGAAGGGAAGAGGCAACTATCCAGACTGGAGGCAGGGTGGGGAGGGAAGTGTACAGGCTCCACTCCCCAGTGCCACACCCAGGGGCCCAGGCTCCTCCTACAAGCTGCTGGGAGCCATCCAGGCCATTGCGTTAACTGTTGCACCGAGGGTAAGAGTGGCCCCATGCATTCTGACCCACTTCAACTACCGCTCTACTGCATAAAGGCTTTCCCGCATCTGGTGAAACTCCCAAATATTGTCGCTGAGGAAATGAAGTCACTCCTTGACAAAGTTTATAGTACAGTAGTAGTTTAGGGTGTCAAGGAGGACTGCCTTTTCAGGACTACTCAGTCAACTTTGGGGTCCACCTGGCCCTCGACTCTTACTTTCAACTCCAAGAGGCTGTAGCGTGTGCAGCGGCCATGCTCTAGTAAGACTGTCTCAGGCAGACAGGCTGAACCAAGTTGAGAGTAACCTATCGGCCTGAAGGTAGAAGGTGAGATAGAAGGGTATCTACCTTACGCATGTAAAGACTTCCTTTGGTGGAATTGGAGGAGAACATTTCATTCCAAACACCACGAAGGTGGCTGAAGCACTTTGGAGCCCTTAAGAGTTTGGTCGGACATCAAAGATGCCATGGTCATCCACTGCATCCCGGTCGTCTTGACTTCTGTCCTGCCACTGGACTTCAATGACTGGAAGATAGAAGAGAAAGACAGATGACTTTGAGATTCTGTCTCACTGAAATCCAATTCATGAACAAGTCAAGATATCACCCAGTGATGTCATTGGTCCTCTTCGAAAACAAAGGACAAACAACAGCTTCACACACACACACACACACACACACACACACACACACACTCACTCACATACACACACACACACACTCACACACACTCACATATACACACACACTCACACACTCACACACACACACGCTCACACACACTCACATATACACATACACTCACACACTCACACACACTCACACACACACACACTCACTCACACATACACACACACACTTATCTTGATTCTCTCTTTGTCTACTGGCTGCTTCCATCCCACCTACAAACATGCTTATGTCTCTTCCAGTCTCAAAAAACCCTCACTTGATCTATAATAATGGTCTCCACTATTATCTCATCTATTCCTTTTGTGGCTAGATTAGAGAAGGCCATTTACAGTGAGTTCTCCACTTCCTTTTCTCTCATCCTCTTCCTAATCTCTGGTCTGGATTCTGATCTCATCATTCAACCAAAACTGCTATGTCCCAAGTCACTGGTGTCCCCTTAATTGTCAAATCTCATGACCCTTTCTCAACCCTCATGCCTCTTGATCTCTGGGCAGCTTCTGACACTGTCCATTGTCCTCCTCTCTCTAGGTTCTCACGACACTGCGCTCTCCAAGTTCTCCTCCTGCCAGTCTGACTACTCCTCAGTCTCTTGTGATGATCTTCATCCAGGTCATGCCCGTGGGTGTTCCCCAGGCACCCAGAGCTCCTCTCTTTCTATGCTATCTCATTTGGTAATGACATCACCTTCAACAGATTCAATCATCTCTAAGCTGATGATTCGCAAATCTCCTTGCCCAGCCCTGAGCTCTCTGAAGACTCATCTCCAACTACCTATTAGACATATTGAAGTGGGTGTCCCATAGACATCTTAAACTCAACATGTCCAAAACTCAACTTATGCTCTTTTCTCCAAGCCATCCCCATTCCAAACTTCCTTATTATTATCAAAGGCACCACCATCTTTTCAGTCAGCGAGGCACTTAGCCTAGGTATCAATCTTGACATCTCACTCTCTCTTACCTCCCAACCCCTCACTACATATCCAATCTGCTGCCAAGGCCTGCCAATTTTACCTTCAAAACATCTCTTACATACACCTCCTTCTCTCTTCCAACACCACCCCCATCCTCGTGCAGAACCTCATCACCTCATGCCTGGACTGTTGTGGTAGCTGCTGGTGGGCCTGCCAGCCTCACGTCCCTCCCCATTCTAGTCCATCCTTCACTTAGCTGTCAACATGATCTTCCTACAGCCTGGGTCTGGTCATGTCATCTTTCCACTCAGTAAACTCCAATGGTTCCTTTTCACCTCTAAGGGCAAATATAAAATCCTCTGTTTGGCATGTAAAGCCCTTTATAACTTCCTTCTCCGCCCTCTACCTTTCTAGACTTCTTACACCTTACACCCCCTCCACACTATTTAACCCAGTGACACTGGCCTCTTTGCTGTTCCTCCAAAAAGACACCCCATCTCTCAACAGCAGACATTTCACTGTCTCCTATGACTGGAATGCCCCCATCCCTCCTCATCTTCACTTCCTGTCATCCCTAGCTTCCTTCTCCGTCTTAATTCTAGCTCCTTCCCTCTATTGGTTATCTCTTATTCATCCTGTATACAGCTTGTTTCTACATAGTTGTCTGCATACTCAATACAGGTTATACATGTGTAGTCATGCAAAATGTTTCCATAATAGTCATGTTGTAGAAGATTATATTTCCCTTCATCCTAACACCCCTTCCCCATTTATTCTATTCTCTCTTTTGACCCCGTCCCTCCTCAGAAGTGTTTGCTTATGATTACCCCCTCCCCCAATCTGCCCTCCCATTTATCATATATTCATATATATATATATATATCTTCCATTAGATTGTTAGCTCCTCAAGAGCAGAAACTGTCTTTTGCCTTTCTTTGTATTATTCCCAGCACTTAGCATAGTGCCGGGAACACAGTAGACAATAAATGTTTATTAGCTGACTAAAAGAGGCCCTCCCTCACCTCCTACTTTACTTAAATAATTAGGCTATCTTTAGTGAGTTTGCTCATTCCCTATTCTGCATGTCACATATACACACACTTATTTTCTCCTCAATTGTTCGGCTCTCTGAGACATAAGTGGCCCTTATCCTTGCCAAGGCCAACTCTTCTACATGCACTATGTATCTAATGCAATAAGCAATATATTAATCACCTGCTGTGTGCCCAACACTAAGCTGTTGTCTCCTCCAGGTCCTTGACCCATAGGTCATATTCTTTCTCCTTTCTCTTTATTTTACTCTTCTCTCCTTTTTAATTTTTCCCTGTCTATGGGCTCCTTTCCTTTGCTACCTTCAAACAGGTTCAAAGCTCCCCAACATTAAAAAAAGATAACTAAAAAACCTTTCCTTTGACCCTTCTGTTTCCTCAAGTTATCAGTCTATACCTCTTCCCCCTTCTACCCCTTCAGCCAAATCTAGGTTTCAGTGATCATTTGTCCTAGAAAAAAGCCACCTTCCTCTTGTCTCCACTCATTCTTCAGCCTCCTGCAATGTCTTCTAACCCACTACTGCACAGAAACTGTTTTCTCCAAGATTACTGATAATCTCTGCCCAATATTATGACCTTGTCTTAGTCCTCAGCTTTCTTGCCTTCTCTTTGTCAACACTGACAGTCGCCTCTCCACTCACTATTCTCTCCTCCCTTGGCTTCTGTTTCTTCTTCTACGTATCTGGATCCTTCTTCAAATTTCTGTTACTGAATCAGTATCTGTCCTCTGCCCCCTAATGAACGGTGTTCCCCCAAGCTCTGTCTTCAGTCTTGTTCTCTTCTCTCTCCATACCCCCCTCTTGTGGTAATCACAGAAACCTTCAATGGGCTTAATTTTAGCCTCAAAGCAGATAACTTCTAAATCAATATGTCTGAACCGAGTGTCTCTCCTGAATCCTAGTTCCATCCAAACTACTGACTAGACATCTTTAACTGGCTATCTCTCATCCTCTTTAGGGGTTGTTGTTTGTCCTTCATTCTCAAAGAGGACCATGACATCAAGAAGGTGATGCCATGATTTGCAAGTGAACGGCATTTAAGTGAGGGAGGGCTGTGCAAAGTCACCAGCCTCACCTTCTCCTCAAGAGCCATCTGGCAAGATATAGATCAGAATGATCAGGGATGGCCCCCCTTTAGGTATTGAGGGATGTAGGAAAAGATCAATTTGTACTTGCTTTAAAACATCCTAAAATTATTTTCTAATACTTAATGATTTAAGAAAATTGTGATGGTGCAGAGGGTGGAGGTCTCAGTGGAGAAGAGGAGAGGAACAGCTTAGTAAAGGCAACACACGAGTCCACCATGATAAAGGTTTCAGTATCCATAGAATCGACATGCCCTCTCCCAAACATTCACAAAATGATTTTACCTTCTCAGAGTACCTTCACATTTGGAGCCAATGACAGCCATGGTTTTCTCTGTAAATCTATTTTTCCCATTTTGAGCATGTTACAAAGAACACTGGCTCAGGGGCCAACGGATCTGGGTTCAAATCCCACTCTAGGCTTCAATTTCTGTGAAATGAGGGGATTGGATGAGTTGGCCTCTGTTGTCCCAATATATCTAAATCAGAATCACATATCTTCCTCCCTAACCCACTCCCCCCCAAGGCCTCCCCAGTTCTGCAGATAGAAATATCATGGTTTCAGTCACTTGCATTCACAATCCCAAGCTCACAGAACCACAGAGGAGAAGGGATCCACAGAGACCACCTCATCCAGCGGGTGCCTGTGACATGCCCAAGTGGTCCTTCAACCTTTGCTTGAAGCCCTTCAATGAGGATCCCACCACCTGCCCATGCAGCTCATGCTCCTTCTCAATAGTTCTAGTGGTTAGGACATTTGTCATCACATGAGATGTCCTAACATCTTGGGACTTGCAGCTGCTTCCCCAATCTCCAAGTACCCCTCCCCATGGCAACCCTTCAAACAAGTGAAGATAGCCATCATGGCTTCTCTGAGGCTTCTCCAACCAGTCTTCATGCGGCATGAACTCAAGGCCCTTGGTCAGCCTGGCTGCCCTCCTCTCAATGAATATCAAGAACTTCAAAGAGAGGAGCTTCCCTAAACCAAACTCAAGACTCCAAATGAAGGCAGATGGGTGGCATCATAGCGGATAGAGCACTGGTCCTGGAGTCAGGAGGACCTGAGTTCAAATTCCACCTCAGACACTTACTAGCTGTGTGACCCTGGGCAAGTCATTTAATTCCAACTGCCTCAAAAAAGAAATAAATAAAGACTTCAAATGGGATCTGAACAGGGCAGAACTCTAGAGAGCAAGAGGTCATCCCCTCCTTATTCCTGGAAGCTCTGCTTATGACCCAAGATCTCACGGGGTTGTTTGGCGGTCACGTTGCCCCTGCTGACTCATACAGAGGTTGTACTGTTAGTCTTCTGTGAGCCCCACACCTTTCTCACAAACTGCTGTTGAACCAGGACTCCCCCTTCTTATACGTGTACAGTTCATCTGTAGCCTAAATCGATATCAATAATCAACAAACACGTATTAAGTGCCTACTACATGCCAGGCACTACACGCTGGGGATACAAAAAGAGGCAAAAGAGAGTCCCTGCCCTCAAGGAGCTTACAATCAAGTGCAATCTAGATGCAAGACTTCACAAGCATATTAAATTTCGTCTTATTAGTGCCAGCTCAATTTTCTACCCTTTATTTTTAGGTCCTTAGTCTGGCAAGTCTAATAATCTAGGATTGTAGAATTCAAAGCTGAAAAAGAGCTTAGAAGAAATGATATTTGTAAAGAGCTTGATAAACTTTAAAACTCTATGTGATTGTTAACTAGTAGTGGTGGCAGTGGTGGTGAGGATAATAGTAATAGTAGTGGGGGTGGTAGTAGTGGTGGTGGTGGTGGCAGTAGTCATGGTGATAATGGTGGTGGTAGTAGTAGTAGCAGTGGTCTACACTTGCATCTCACAAATGAAGACACTGAGGCCTAAGGAAAGGAAGTGGCTTGCCCAAGGTCTACAGAGACCACCCCGATCATGAGGAGCTAGAATCCTGCCTCTATTCTATGACTTCAGGGTAAATCTACCCACTGTGGCATGAACGCCTGAAAAGTGAGGCCCAAAGCAAGGAGCAGAAGCAGAGTAAGCACTCGCTGAGTGGATGGATGGACAGACCACCCAGCCTTAGCTCTGGAGAGGGATGGAAAGGAGGAGGGTTGGAGGAGGGGCTGCCCCCAAGGACAGTTCAATTTAATTCAATTCAGCACGTGTGCGCTGTCCATTGTGAGTGGGCTGGGCTGTTGTGGCTACGAAGGCCAAAAGGCGGAATGGTCCCTGAGCTGAGGGACTTCTGCGGAAGGAAGATGGGGATGGGCCAGGGGTCATCTATTCCAGACAGAGGACAATAAGGAGACAGAAGGAAACAGAGTCAAATTTGGCAGGAATGCGGAAGCTACGAGAAGGCTGTACCTTAGGTTACAGTCAGGAGCCTGGAAGGAAGGACGAGCCTCCCCTGCCTCCCCATCTACGCTGTGTGAGCGGAGTGGAGCAGCTTCCTTCTCAGATGCCGACAGGACAAGATGACCTCTGACTTCTCGGCTACAATTAAGATTCAATGATCTTTGGTTCTTCTGACAGCTCAGGCTGGGCTCTTCCCAGGCCAGGAGGCTGACGGCCTCAGGGGATGCCCTGATGACCAACCTCAGGCATTCAGGGAGAGCCTCAGATGACCAGAGCCAGAAGGAGAAAACCCCTGGCATCAGCCCGGGTGTAGAAAGAAGACCCAAACACAAGGGCCTTTGACTGGAAATAAAAATGGGTCCATTGTCTTCGTGGGTGGAACCAAACAAGAGGGAGTGTGGTGTGTGTGTGTGTGTGTGTGTGTGTGTGTACAAGAAAGAAACAGAGTCAGGGATAGAAGAAAGCAAGATAGAGTCCTACAAAATGAATAAGCAACAGGAGAGGGGGAAAGCAAAGAACACAGTTCTGAAGGATATGACCCATGGTTTTATCATTATTATTATCATTATTATTGTTATCATTTACCACCCAGCCTCCTGTGGTCCCTGGAGTCTACAAAGTTCAGGAACAGGTACGGCTCCCCAGGGGGTGGGAGAGACAAGAGGCTTAGCTGGTTCCTATTACAAAGCTGTTAGTAGAATAAGGAGCCACACTTCTCTGTCTCTCTGTCTCTCTCCCCCTCCTCTCCCTCTCTCCTCTCACTTGCTTTCTCCCTCCTTCTCTTTCTGTCTCTCTCTGTCTCTGTCTCTCTGTCTCTGTCTCTGTCTCTGTCTCTCTCTGTCTCTCTGTCTCTCTGTCTGTCTCTCTCTCTCTCTCTCTCTCTCTCTCTCTCTCTCTCTCTCACACACACACACACACACACACTCACACACACTTATTGCCAAAGAAAGAAAACAAATTTCAGACAGGTCACCCCTCCCCCACCAACTGCAAACAAGTCTTCCCACTAATATAAGGGAACAGGTTTCGGTCCTTCTCACATCCACCTCCCCCTGCCAAGAATTTCAGGAAACTCAGGAATTAGAGCAGCCAAGGAGACTGAGGCCAAGTGATAAAATAAAATAAACCATCTAATCCATTCCTACTTGTCACCTGACCAGACGTAGTCACACAGGTCTGTAGGTACAGAGGAAGGACCTCTGGATTTGAGATCAGAGGACCTGGGATTAAATCCCAGCTCTGCCATTTACCCCCTGTATGACCTTGGATAAGTAACTTCCCCTGAGGCTCAGTATCCTCTTCTGCAAAATGAGGAGGTTAGATTGGATCCTATCTGAAGTCCTTTCCCACTCTAAAATCCTGTGATTGCCAGGATAAATACTGTGGGAGTAGGAAAAGAAGATTCCCTTGCTCAGGAAACTACCTTTGCCCTTGAGTTCTGTGATGCCAGAAATCCACTATTAAGCATTCCTTTGGCACTGGTGTTCAGACGTGTCTGATTCTTCATGATGTGACCCTGGACAAGTCACTTCATGCTGTTTGCCTCAGTTTCCTCATCTGTAAAATGAGCAGGAGAAGAAAATGGCAAACCACTTGCCAAGAGAACCTCAAGCAAGGTCATGAAGAGTCAGGCATGACTGAACAGCAACAACTCTATTTCCAGGCTCACTGGACATTACTCCCCCTCCCAAATTCTTTAGTACAGCACGACTGGCCCTCTATGTATTTTTTTTTTTTTTTTTGGTGAGGCAATCGGGGTTAAGTGACTTGCCCAGGGTCACACAGCTAGTAACTGTCAAGTGTCTGAGGTCAGATTTGAACTCGGGTCCTCCTGACTCCAAGGCTGGAGCTTTATGCACTGTGCCACCTAGCTGCCCTTCCTTCTATGTATTCTTCACAAGGGGCATTTCATCTACCACCTCCACACCTTTGCAGTGGCCATTCCTCATGCCTGGAATGCACTCCCTCCTTACCTCTGACTCACAGAGTTCCTCTCTCCTTCAAACACCATATTCCATACAAAGCCTTTCCCGACTTCCCCCAACTGCTAGTGCCCTCTTTCCCAAACCACCTTGAATTGAACTTCTTTGCACATGTTCCTCTGCATTACAGCAGCAGAAACTGAGGCACAGAAAGACTCAGAAACCTTCCTGAGTTCACACAGATATTAAGCAGCAGAGCTGGTATTCAAAGCCAGGTCTCCCATCTCCAAACTCAGAACTCTTACCACCGTATCACGTAAACTGGAAATGAAGAAAATCGGGTCCTAGTCCAGACCCTGCCAAAACGAGCGCTGTGCTACCGGAAATCACTTGCTTTCTCTCTGGGCCTCAGTTTTCGCATCTGTGAAAAGGGAACACTAGTTAGACGAAAACAGTCCCTAAGATCCCTTCAGGTCTGGCCCTCTTTTCTCAGGCCCCTTACCTTAGTGTCATTCCTGACTCCCCCCTCTCCCTCAGTCCCCTATATGATGAGGAGCTAAGTCCAGTTGATTCTGCCCCTTACATCTGCCTTCTCCCTTTCCCTGCAGCTACCACACAGGTTCAAGCCCTCTCCAGCTCTCCCCTGGATCCCTCCTGATTGGTATCCCAGCTTCCAGTCTCTGCCCTCCCCTACCCATTCTCCACTACACAGTCGCTGAAACAATCTTCCTAAAGCCTGGGTCCGACCCTGTCATTCCCCTGCTCAGAATCATTAGTCATTTCCTATTACCTCAACTCCTCCACTTGGCAGCTGAGACCTTCTGGTTCTAACGCACCTCTCGGGCCTTGGTTTTCCTCTCTTATTCTGTGCTCTGGTCACACTGGCCCATTGGCTATTCTTCCACAGGGCACTCCCCTCGGCTGCTTGAAAAGCCCTTCCACTTCCCTAAATCTCTGTCTTCCTATGATGGAGGCCCACAGCTGACCTCCTCCATGAAGCCTTTCCTGACCTGACCCCTCCCCCCATTGTCAGCGCCCTCTCCCTCCTCAGAATCTTGTCTTTACTTATCTGTGTATACATCGCGCTGGCCAGCAAAATATAAATCTCTTCCCCGTTTTGTCCTTCTGCCCCTTACATACACACAATAGGCACTCAAGAAGTGTTCACAACTTACATCTTATTCTATGTTCTTTGTGCAAAGTCTCCCCCCTCATCTACCTCTGACATTCCACGTTCTAAGGTCCCTTCTGAGACTAACAGCCCACTAGCCTATCATCTGTCTCAGTGTGGTCCAGGAGAAGGAGCAGTGAACTTGGAGTCAAAAGCCCTGGGTTCAAATTCTCCTCCTTAAGCTTGCTACCTTTGTGACTTCAGACAAGTCGCTAACACTCTGTTTCCTCACATGTAAAATGAAGGGGGTGGATGACATAGCCTTTAAGGTGTCCTAAATCTTTGATCTCATGATCAGTTTCTCAGATCTTTTCCTGAAAACAGCCGAGGAAAGATAAAAGGGGTGCTCCGAAGGCATGGGATCCTGGGCTGGGGAGGGGAAAGGATGCAGAGAGGTCTGACTCCTCATTCCCCCTCTCCAACATCATCTGTGTGTTCTGCCTCTTTGCTTTTCCTCCATTCCAGAGTCATTGGAATTCCGTGTCAAAGGGAATTCCTTTCCTACAATTAGGGGCTGGATGCCTTTGTCGGGGACCCTCTCACATGTTGTCTGGGAGCTGCAATGATAGCAAGAGTACTCTGGAGAATTGAATTGGAAGGGATCTCAGCGGCCAGAGTCCGGTCAAGTCACAAAATGAATGCAAAGAGTGACGTACTCGGCGAATAGTCTCGGAGCTGGCCTTCAAACACTGTTGTTACTCAGTCATTTCACTCATGTCGGTCTCTCCGTGAGAGTTTTCGTGGCAAGGATACTGGATGGTTTGCCATTTCTTTCTCCAGCTCGCTTTACAGATGAGGAAACTGAGGCAAATGACTTGCCCAGGGTCACACAGCTAGGAAGTGTCTCAGATCTCAGGTCTTCCTGACTCCTCCAAATGACAGCCCTTCAAATGCTTGAAGACAATTATCAAGCTCCCCTCCACCCCCCAGTCTTCTCTTCTCCAGCCAATTCCATCAATATATTCTCATGCGATGTGGACTCGAGGCTCCTTGCCAGTGCTGGTTGCCCTCCTCTGCACACTCTTCCAAGCTTTTAAAAGCATGACACCCAGATCCAAACAATGGTAGAGTACAGCTCATTCTGTGATACTGGGTCATTTAACCCCCTAGAAAGCCTTTCCAAGGACTTTGGTTCCCCTCGTGGGGTATGGCAGAAAGAGTGAAGGATCATAGTCAGGAGATTGCGCTGAGTCCCAGATCTAACACTTCCTGGCTGAGTGCCCCTGGGCACTGCCCCTCACCGCCGTGAAACACAGACTTCTCATCAGTTAAATCCTCGCACTCTCCCCCTCACAGATCTTTTCCAGAAGACGGTCTGAACTTGGCCTCATACTAGACTGAAGAGCGTAATGACGATGCTGGATCACAGAGGCAAGAGTCTGGGGCTGCTATGAGGGGAAGACACGTTTCATACTTGAGTGCACTGGCCAGGCAAGATCACTGAGTACTCTGTAATCCAGGGCGCTCTCTCCCCACCCCAGACACTTTTGTTCATCAGAAAATTGGATGAGCCACAGATGGAAATGTTAAGCAGCACAGGACCTGAGCATCCAACCAGCTCTGTAACCGTAGGAAAGTCAAGTCCCCTCTCCAGCCTCAGTTTACCCTCCTCTGCAAAATCAGGTGGGTTGGACCAGATATTCTCCAAGGTCCCTTCCTGCTCTAACATCTGGGTTTGACATTCCAAGGTCCTTCCAGTTCTTCCATTCTCTGTTCCAAATTTTCTTTCTGCTAGAACATTCTGAGTTCTAAGGTTCTTTCCAGCTCTTGCATTCTCTAGTCTATGTTCTATGGACCCTTCTAGCTCCAACATCCTGTGTTCTAGGAGCTGTCCCAACTACAATATCCTATGTTCTATCCAAGGTTTCTTAACACAATTAAAAAAAATTTTTTTTGACAATTGCATTTCAGTATAACTGGTTTCCTTTGTGATCCCATCTATTTTATTTTACGCACTTAAAAAATGTTCTTGAGCAGACTTCCAAAGGGAACAAGGTTAAGAAGCCATCTTGTACACTCCAAATGTCCTCCATAAGCAATGTTCTGTGTTGTAAGGGCCCTCCTGGCCGACATACTCTATATTCTAGGGACATCTTCAGCTCTACACACAGTAGGTACTTTCCAAATTGAATTGAAGGAGCTCCAGGTACCTCAACCTGCTTTTACAGGGATTACACACAGCTTGAGTATGTTCTATTTCCTGCCCTCCCTCCCTCCCATCTCTCCTCCTCACCCCCACCACCCCAACAAGTTGCAGCCAATTTCTCAGAACTTGCAAGGTGTTCCGGGATCCTTTAGGGAAAATCCAACTTCCGGGATTCATTCTATCTGCTCCTACTTTAGAGTCCTTGGGTTCACCTGTTTCCTTATTATCCAACTGCCATCCTCAGGGTTTGGGTTCTTTTTTTAAACACAGTCTTTCCTCTCCATTTTACAAACATCTGGGTGTATGTAGAAAGAAGCAGAAAGGCCTTGTGAATAACCACCTTCACCGAGCGTGACTAAAATGACACTTGCTGAATTTACAACTGTTTGCACAACTATTGCCAATCCATTAAAGGAGCAGGAAGAGGATGGAGAGGGAAAGGGATGAGGGGGAGTAGCCGGAGCTGAGCTAACAGAAAGGAGGGCACTTGGGGCCAGGCCAAGGCCCGAAGTGGCCATAAAACACACGCCGGGATTTGTGGCCCCAAAACAACCCCAGCCCCGCATGCAGGTTCGTTCCTATGAGCGTCACTCGTCTTGCCTCATCTGTCCCTCTCAACCTGCCTCTCCCATCTCAGATGAGCTCAGCCTAGGCTGCCCCCTCCCAAGGCAAGCAAATTCTCCCCTGAGAGAGCTCAGAACGTGGTGGAAGGAGGGGCTGTGTTCCTGGGAGCCTGACTCACTGTGTCTCACCTGGGCAGGGAATGATTGGATCAGCCACGGGTGCTAGAGGAGACACATCTGTTCCTCCTTCACACAAAGGCGCTTGTCACACAAGACAACTCAAAGGGCTCTCCCTTTCCCAGCAGCCAGGCAGCCCTCTTCTCCCTCCCCCTAGTGCCTCTCTTCTCCACTGTCCTGGCCACATTCCTCCAAAGAGAGCTCACATTTTGTTTAAACTTCAGCTTTTGGGAAACGTCAACATGATTCAGTTCCTTAAAATATAACCAACCAATTTGAGCTTTCTTTAGGATGACACCCACCTAGAATGGGGAAGTGCGGGAAGAGTGTGGGACAGAGGAGCCAGGGGTCAAGTTCAAAACTAGCCTCCATACTTAGTATTGGCCTCACAGTCACGGACTAGTCACTCGACCTTGCACAGGTCGATTTCCTTACCTTAATAACAAAAACAATCACACTTGCCATATTTCTTTTGAGAGGAAATGTGGCACACTGGGTAGAGGCTCAGGCTTGGAGTCAGGAAGATCTGAGTTCAAGTATCACCTCTGACACATAGACTAACTGCATGAACCCAGGCATGTCTCCCAGGCCCTTAGGGAAGTCTCTAAAAGCATAATCTATCAATGAATTGTTCATCTGTATCAGAAGGAGATTTCCCACACAGGGAGTAGTCCCCAGTAGGCATCCCCCCCCACCAGTGAAATCACAGCCTAGGAGGAAAAAAGAATATATCTATGGTCACATTCAACAAATATTTGTTGAACAACAACAATTGCTTATAATAACTGCTAATAATAATATTAGCCAGCACTTACATAAGGCTTTGCAAATACGATCTCTCATTTAATCCTCACCACAGCCCTGGGAGGCAGGTGTTATTATCATCCCATTTTACAGCTGAGGAAACAAGCAGAGAGGTGAATCCCCTCTTCAAGATTTACAAAATACTTTACAAAGTCTTTTGGTGTAACGGCCAGCGCTGTGTTTGGGGCCAGAGTTCAAATCCCACCTCTGGCTACTTACTGATGGTGGGCAAACCATCTCATGTCTCTGGACTCAGTTCCATCATCTGTACGATGGGAGGGCCGGACTAAATGATCTCTCTTCCCTTTCGAGACCCTAAGCACGGTCACTTTCTAGCTCGGAAACAAAGGAAAACTGAAGTGTAGCTTAAGTGATCGATGTCCAGGGTCACAGAGCAGCTGGCAAGGGGTGCAGAGAGCAGCTGGGTTTGAATGCAGGGCTCCAGGCTCCAAATCAGGGACTGCTCTGGTATACTCCGGAGAGGCCAGAAAAAGCTAAAGCTGGAAAAGACCGTGCAGCCTAGGGGTTCCCCAACCTGTAGGCCAAGGACCCCTGGACTGTAGTGACTCACAAATAAGCAAACATGCCTCCCTCAGACCAACTCATATCAGACATGTGTGTGTAAGGGGCCTTTGAACATGTCCAGACCTTCTAACACGGAGGCACTCTGCAGTCCCTACCAGCGGGTGGAGGTAGGTTCCTTGGATTAGCTGGCTAACCCAGAATAGATGGGATCTTTCAGACTAACCACACTGGGTTAGGTTCCCCGCCCTCCCCGCCCCCGGCTGCACACACTTTTCTGCTGTGTCCAGAGAATGAAGGTCATAGGGTTACCCACAACACTGATACCACAAACTGAACCAGTAAGAGGGGAAGGACTTCCTTCCCTTGCCTTCTCTCTTATCAGGACTCCATGAAATGGTCAGAGGGCTGTTCTTTGTTTTTTGTCCTCAGTTTCAGATACCAGGCATGATCTGCACAAGACACAGAATAGAGCCATGGTGATCTTGGAGCCTGGACTCCAAGTGGGACGGTTACAAGCCAATCAGCTGAGCAGGGAAGGCCGGAAAAGCCAGGGTACCTGGGACCAGAGCCCAACGTGGGTTTGGGACTTGGAACTGGGATTGTGATGTATAGAAACACAGCTAAGGGGGCAGTTAGGTGGTGCAGTGGATACAGCACTGGTCCTGAAGTCAGGAGGACCTGAGTTCAAATCCAGCACCTCAGACCAAATACTTGATACTTATTAGCTGCGTGACCCTGGGCAAGTCACTTAACCCCAATTACCTAAAAAAAAAAAGAAACAGAGCTAAGCTGTGAAGCTATTCTCCTTCCCTACCCCCAGAAACTGAGGTGGTACAAGGAGAAAGGAGAATTTAAAGCCTATGTGTTAGGGAGTATATTTGTATATTTATACCTTTTGAAGTAAATATGTCTTTGTAAAAATTAATTCAGCTGTAAGTGGTTAAATGGAACTGGAGTGCAGGGGGCCCCCCCACACTTTAAGGGTGGCAGTGGCGCCAAAGGCAGAGGACCTAGACATGTCTCAATCCCCTTAAAGTGCAGCAGAGAACCCTGCGGGAGGGGTGAAGTGTAACCCAGCCGACCCGGAGGTAGTGGGGGCAGGGCAGCAGCATTATACATGATTACGATTTTTTCAATATTATCTAGGTACTTCTTGTGCTTTAAGAAATAAACATTCTGGGGCAGCTAGGTTGTGCAGTGGATAGCGCACCAGCCCTGAAGTCAGGATTCAAATCCAGCCTCAGACCAAACACTTGACACTTACTAGCTGTGTGACCCCGGGCGAGTCACTTAACCCCAATTGCCTAAAAAGGAAAAAAAAAAGAAATAAACGTTCATTTAAAAGCTGAATTCATAGTAATTTTGGATGTTATTTTCTCAGTGAACTTTGGAGCCAAAAAGACCAAAATAAAAGTCCTGTCTCTGACACATAATGACTGTGGGACCCTGGACAAATGTCTCCATTTCTCGCTATTCCAGATGACTCACAGAGACTAACACGTAGAGAAGGTGCCTGCCGGCTTTAATGGAGGGATTTTCCTTACCCGGGAGTTCCTTATAGAATAAAATCACACGTCTGGTGCCTATCCGTGTAGCTATCCTTTCTCAGTCAACAGATATTAACAATACAATTATCGAGTGGATGTGCATCAAGTTTTCTTAAGCTAAAAAAACTTGTTTCAACTTCCTCATTTTGTGCTTGAGGAAAGAAAGTCCCAGAGAAGGGTGATGACTTGGTCGCATTATAGGAAGTCAGAGGAGAATGAACTAAAGGACATAAAATGTGGAACATGAACACTGAGCAGAAATTCAATCGGCAGAGTTAAAGGGGTTGGGGACAGGTAATATTTCCAGGAAGAAGCTGTAGAGAAAGGAAAAAAGGAAGGAAGGGAGGAAGGGAGGAAGGAAGGAAGAGGGAGAGAGAGAGAGAGGGAAGGAAAAGGGAGAGAGAGAAAGGAAGGAAAGAAGGAAGGGAGGGAGGGAGGGAGGGAGGGGGCAGCTAGGTGGCGCAGTGAATAGAGCTCTGGCTTTGGAGTCAGGAGGACCTGAGTTCAAATCCTGCCTCAGACACCTAACACTTACTAATTGGGTGACCCTGGGCAAGTCACTTAACCCTGATGCCTCACCAAAAAGCAAAGAAAAAAATTTTTTTAAATAGAAAGAAAGAAGCAGTCCTACCCTGGAGGAGCATTATATTCTAATGTGGGAGAAACATGTATACAGATAGAAAAAACACAGGCAAGGGAAATTAGAGCACTACACTGCGCAGAGCACTGGGCCTAGAGTCAGCAAATCCTGAGTTCCAATCCAGCCTCAGATATATACTAGCTGTGTGGCCCTGAGCAAGTCATTTAACCCCTATTTATCTGTTTCTCCATCTGTAAAAGGGGAAACAGATAAAGAACCTTACAGGGTTATTGTGCAGATCAAAGGAGGTAAGAATTGTAAAGTGCTTAGTATAGTGCCTGGCCCATAATAAACATTATATAAATGTGAGTTGGTTCCATGTGTACATAAACAGTCGGCAGTTATTAAGCACCTGCTAAGTGTCAGGCTCTGTGCTGTTAGAGATACAAAGAAAAGTAAAAATAGTAATATTCCCTGCTTTCAAGGAGCTCACGGTCTAAAGGGAGGGCAGGGGAGGTTGCGTGCAGACAAGATGCTAACCACTATGTACAAACGAGACAGATAGAGATGCAGCAGGAGATGACCTCAGAGCACAGGCATTCACATTCAGGTGGCTTGGGAAAGACTTCTTGCAGCCAGGAGGCCAGGGAGGGTCTCACATAGAAGGGAGGGTACTCCAGGTATGGGAGGAAGCCCATGCCCAGCCAGAGCTGGAGGTCTGAAGGCCAAGTAAGGGGAACAGTGGAGCCAGTTTGGAATGTGTGATGGCGACCCATGCATAACAAGCCTGGAGAGGTGGGCAGGAGCCAGGCTAGGGGCAGTTTAGAATACCCAACAGAGGAGTGTGCATTTTATCCTACCTAGAGGCATTAGAGAAGCCCGTGATCTTTGGGAACATGAAAGTGATACGGAGAGCCTGGACTCTAGGAAGATCACTCTGACAGCCATGGGTAGGATGGACTAAACAGAGGAGAGCCTGGCGACTGGGAGACCAGTGAGGAAGCTGATGAGAGCCTGAACTCGGCTGGCCACCTAGGAATGGAAAGATGGTCAAACCACATTCAAACAACTATGTACAAAGAAGCGTATAGGATAATTGGGGGATAATCTCAGAGGGAAAACATAGCACTAGGATGCCTGTCTTTGAGAAGGGAAGTTTGAAAAGTCACTCGATGGAAAATCCAGGGTTGGACAAGACCACGACCTCCGTGGAATGTAGAGGTGGAAGAGATCTTGGAAACCATCTTCTAACGCCTTTATTTTTAGATGGAGAACCAAGGTCGGAGGGGGGAAGTCATAGTTGTAAAGCAAGAACTGAAATACACACCTCCTGACCTCTGGTCCAAGGCCCTTCCTTTACACGCTATCCTGCTCCAATCTGTTCTCTCTCCACACTTAGGGGCACACACAGGATGCTGCTCTCGACTTTACTGGGGTGTAAGCACATAGGCTATAGACTTTTATCACCATAAACATGACAAGGGCTCTTAATTTCCACCAATGGGAAGAAATTATGGGCCAGGTGCTAGAACTACCCAGGGACTCCCAAAGAGGGGCCAATGCCTCCCCATAAATGACGATTAGACGTCTCTCTCACTTCTGACCGCTGCTCCCAATGACCACTGGCCCTGCCCTGATCAGTC